AGTGGCCAGGAGGGCCCATGGCATCCTGGGCTGCATCGGGAAGAGCGTGGCCAGCAGGTCAAGATGGGTGATCCTGCCCCTCTGCTCAGCCCTGGTGAGGCACATCTGGAGAGCTGTGCCCAGTTCTGGGCTCCTCAGCACAAGSWGCTACTGAGMAGAGWCCAGTGGAGTGCCACAAGGATGATTTGGGGTCTGGAGCATCTCTCTTATGAGGAGAGACTGCATGAACTGGGCCTGTTTATTCTGGAGAAGACTGAGAGAGGATCTTATTAATCTCATTAATCTCATGAATGCATACAAATATCTCAAAGGYWGGTGCCAGGAGGATGGTGCCAGATTCTTTTCAGTGCTGCCCAGCCACAGGACAAGGAGCAATAATACACAAAAGTAATACACAAACAGTTTCACCTCAACATAAGCAAGAACTCCTTTACATTTTCCTCACATCTGGAACAGGCTGCCCTGGAGTCTCCCTTCCTGGAGACATTCAAGACCCATCTGGATGGGTCACCACCATTACCACCCCTTTGGTGATTYGGACACTTCCAGGCTTCTGCAGCCGTCCATCCTATTGGTGGACACTGGTGTTTGATTTCAGACTTGACACTGCCTAAGGACATCAGAAATTAGCTGTGAAACTAGCAATGAGAGCAAAAAATAGCGGTTAAAATAAATGTCTGATTACATTAAGTGATAAGGATGTGAAAACTGAGCTTTAGGTCACTTTAAGTATTAGACATCTTTATAGTGCTTCTGTGTAACTATATGAACTTTTTTTAGGTGACCTCCCTGGTGTAAGCAACTTCTGTACCCTCATCTCATTTCCACCCCTGATCCACACCCCCAGATGTTCTGGTACAAGGCTTTACTAAGAACACTCTGTGAATTACATTAGGACATAGAGAGGAGTTAAAAATACTCCTGCCAGGAAAATCCAACAGTTATTTTTTAACTTACAACTGTGTTCTATTATTCATAAAGAAAAGGCAGGCTGAACAAAAGCAGACAGAAGATTATTCAGGATGGGTATTTACCCTTAGTTATTGCTATCCCAGGGGTGAGGATGTGATTTCAGGGCTGCTTCAGGTATCAAAACACTCTTTCTGCTGGCCTTTATGTGGCACTTCCTAAAGCTGTGACAACTGCCCAGGGTCAGCAAGTACAACGTGTACTTGTTTATTCTGTTCCTCATCATGTSCTTCCCAAAGCTCTACTATCAACAGCAGAACACAAGCAACACTTAAATCCTGGAGACTGAAGAGGAAACTGGAAAAGAAAAGGGATTTAGGTAATAATAAAAACTTTTTACTGAATGATGCTATGAAAATGAATAGATCAGTTTTCCTAYGGGAAAAAATGTAGTGTACATGTACAAATATATATACSTTTATACACATATTTTGYACATAAATAGTCATTCTCTCTAAGGGTTTTTATATAGGAACACAAATAGATGTTGATGTCGCTGATTTACAGAGGAAACATATTGCATTTTTCGAACCAGAAACCTAAAACCAAGTGTAATTTGAGGCCAGTCTAATTAAGCCAACAATACCACTACYACTTCAGAAGGATCACTGGTAACTTGGTCTTGTTCCCAGGGGGCAGCAGGGATGATACAGCAAGGATAGAGCAGGAACAGAGATGCAGCACTGCCCAGAGTAAGCACAGGGCCTCTGAAAACCACCACTTCCCAGGGAAATGCTGCAAGTTTGTTTTGCAGTGGGTATACCCAGGGTGSTGGCTAAGATCAGTGCTCCTGCTGGCAGCATGTATACACCTGCAGTCAGTCATTCAGTGCCCCACTCACTGTGAGCCTTTGAGCACCCAACTTGCCTTCATTTCAGTCYGGTTTCACAGCCAAAACTGGATATAATCCCAGCTGCTATCTTTCCCACGTTTTGTTTCTTTCCTCAGTTTGCACCAGAAGCGCCTGTTAGTGGAGGGGCTAGCACTGGGACACTGCTCTGACAAACAATGCTGAAATTACTACACTCGTAGTTTGTAGGTGGCTGGTACGTAGAAGCAGATCCGTATCTGCTCTGAATAACCAACCCATACAAACCTCAAATGCAGATTAAGAAAGCAGCAACTTTATTCCATGTGAACAGTGGATATTCTTTGCTGGAGCCCTGCTTTGACCTACCTCAGCTACCTACCAGTATGTGTGCCGCTACATGTAGAACAACCCAGTACCACACCACTCCACAAAGTCCTTCTTAAAGGCTCAAGGGTGAGTTTTAAAGTTTCCCTAGCTCAGACCATTTCTCCAGAGCTGTCTGACACTAACCRCAGGGTGTGGGGGACACCATCTATCAAGCCCTTGCAACACTGGGCCACAACTTCCTTCCACAGCCAGCTGCTACGGTATCTGAGGGCATTCAGACTGCTGAGAAAGTAAGATGCAAGATAATTTTTTTTAAGAATCAGAGACTGTTTAGTGGTTGGAGTGGTGTGAACAGGGACATACCACAAGCTGCCACCAAGGGAGAAGCAGGCAGCATTCATGATGAAGATGCTCTGACTGCATCCAGATGTGGAAGTCAGCAATGCCTGATATTATTCCTCAGATATTCATCAATATGATACAAAATTGAAAATACATGGAAAGACCAAGTGTGTGAAGGAACAGACACGCATCT